TAATAAAAAGATTTCCAATTGCATTTCAATAAACCATGAATTCTCAACACCCCAAGTTAACTGTGATGCACTAATTAACCTTCAAATCTTCCTAACGTTATTGAATTGGATGATTGCATACGACAACCCAAAACATTCCCCACAAGTCCCCTACATGATTGCATAATAGAGATACAAGCAAGAATCATTACGCTCTATGAAAATTATAAGTGTTGACGAGGCATTCGTTACTATGATTGCATGAAACTTATGCCAAGAATTCGTTTAACGCGATTGTTTATAAGCAACCTCCACTACTTGTGAATATAAGTTCGTAACTATTAGGTGAAACTCACTTATATTCTAGCGTCATATTCATGCATGAAAATTAAGCGTATACTCTCAATAAACATACATAAATAAGTTATCAATCAAACAGTTAAACAAATTGAATCCACAACTTATGAAACGCAATTAGAAGTAATCAAATCAAAATGCAAGCATAAACATATATTTCGAATCCCCCCCTAGCCAAGGGGGGGGTTTAGTTCCTCATACGTACAAAACAAAGAGAATTGAAATTAAACATTGGAATCGAGGAAAAGAAACACCTAAACATTCCAACAACTCAAACTTGAATTGTATGAACGTTTAGGCACTCTTCTCCTCCTCTTCGTTGTAGCACAAGGTCTAAGGATAGGTGTGGAGGGATGGGGAGTTATGGATGGTGTAGAATGATGTGTTTAGGATAGGGATGGATGTAGGGGACCTCAAGGCTTCTTTTTGGGCAGAAAATATGAAGAATGGTGAAGTATGGATGTGTTATAGAGAGGGGATGAATTTCTGGCGTGAATGGTGAATGAATTGTGTATGAATGGGAATGAATCCATTGTGGCTGCAATGGATGCTTATTTATAGGTGAAAATGAGGGAATATGACAGCTAGGAACTTGGTGGAAATCTGGAATGGTGATGGGAGATGCATGTGGCTGATTTGTGAAGGGAATGCATGTGGATTAAAGTGGAATGACAGCTAGGTTATGATGATGAATGCATGTGCAAAGTTGGTTGAATGATTATGGGTGCATGTGGCTGATTTATATGAAGGGAATGCATGTGGAATGAATGTGTGAATGATGGCAGATTGTGTATGTGAATGATTAGGGTGAATGTGCATGTGCTTTGACAGCTAGGTTGAATAATTTAAAGGGAGTGCATGTGGCTTAGCTGGAATGATTGGAATGCAATCTGAAATGGGATGTGTTGGTGTGAATTTCTGGTACAAAGGGCCTCCTTTGGTCTTCAATTTCGTCCATCTACTTGGCTTCAAGTATATGCAATCCATTTAACGCCCCAAACTACTCCAAAATGCACCATTTTGCATACTTTGCCCTTAGAACCTGAAAACACACAAAAGAAGCATAAAGGACTAAAATAACTAAAGAAACATAACGTAAATGTACGAGAACAAGCCATTTAAGTCGCATGAATATGCTCCTATCAGTACCTGAGCACTCACATTTTACTTAATGGTTTTGGCATAACATATTTCTGAGCATGACTTATATGTATGTATATCATATTTTCTGGGAAGTATACAGGTTTTACGACGAGGGGTTAGAACTTGTTTTGAATGGTTTTTGAAAAGCTTTGTTTTTACCCACTCATGCTTTTATTTTGCACCCCTCCAGGTTATAGTTGGCTTGCACGTTTGGTAGCTTCCCCGAGGATTTCCCCGGCATTACTGACAGACTCTCACAAGTGTAGGACCACCTTCGGGTGTGCTTTTATAGTGCCGTTTTCTCCTGGACTGCATTAGGTCTTCGTGCTCTTAACCTTGTTTCACACTTTGCTTGCACATGTATGCTTTTACCTTATGTTAAGCAGTTGGTTTTTATTTATTCGTACTACTTTTATTATTTTTTTTTTAGCTTCCGCACTGTGCACTTGGCTACGTCACTTCCACGTGACGGCCAACATGCCCTGATCTCGATTGGGGTGTGTCACAAAATCTTATGTTATGCTTGATGAAAGTATAAATAAACTCTAAGAAGTGTTAGTTAATCTATTGTTTTTATGGGATACGAATTCTCTTAAACTAATTTCAACAATTCCAACCGTCAAACTTGTTTGTATATGCTTTGAGATTACATCAGCAAAAAATCACAAAAAACAAACATTCAAAGATCAAGTAACGGGACAAAACTTTTCGACGGTTACAAACGAAAAATCACGATTTAACGGTTATTTTAACTCCGATTTTGATGATTTTTTACAACTACACTCCTTGACCCTATATGAATACAATGAATGAATTCAATCTTCAATTTAAAATATTTACACAAGTGTATACCACAAAATCTTATGTCATACTTAATGAAAGTATAAATAAACTTTAAGTGTTAGCCAATCTATCGTTTTGATGAGATACGAATTCTCCAAAACTAATTTCAACGATCCAAACCGTCAAACTTGTTTGTATATGCTTGCAGATTACATCAGCAAAAAATCACAAAAAACAAACATTCAGAGGTCAAGTAACGAAACAAAACTTTTCGACGGTTAGAAACGAAAAATCACGATTTAACGGTTATTTTAACTCCGATTTTGATGATTTTTTACAGCTACACTCCTTGACCCTATATGAATACAATGAATGAATTTGATCTTCAATTTAAAATATTTACACAAGTGTATACCATAAAATCTTATGTTATACTTAATGAAAGTATAAATAAACTCTTAAGTGTTAGTTAATCTATCGTTTTGATGGGATACGAATTCTCCAAAACTAATTTCAACGATCCAAACCGTCAAATTTGTTTGTATATGCTTGGAGATCACATCAACAAAAAATCACAAAAAACAAACATTCAGAGATCACGGGACAAAACTTTTCGACGGTTATAAACGAAAAATCACAATTTAACAGTTATTTTAACTCCGATTTTGATTATTTTTTACAGCTACACTCATTGACCCTATATGAATACAATGAATGAATTTGATCTTCAATTTAAAATATTTACACAAGTGGATACCACAAAATCTTATGTTATACTTAATGAAAGTATAAATAAACTCTAAGTGTTAGTTAATCTATCGTTTTGATGGGATACGAATTCTCCAAAACTAATTTCAACGATCCAAACTGTCAACTTATTTGTATATGCTTCGGGATCATATCAGCAAAAAATTGCAAAAAAACAAACATTCAGGGATCAAGCAACAGGACAAAATTTTTCGACGGTTATAAACGAAAATCACGATTTAACGATTATTTTAACTCCGATTTTGATGATTTTTACAGCTACACTTCTTGACCCTATATGAATACAAAGAATGAATTTGATCTTCAATTTAAAATATTTACACTAGTGAATGTGGATATCACAAAATCTAATGTTACATACTTAATAAAAGTATGAATCAACTATAATATTAATAATTATATACATTAATTTAACAATTTTCTTTCTTGGTGGCAAATGGAGCGTTTTCATTATCCGATACTTTCTCAGTTAGCACGAGATGTGTTAACAAGTTCTATTTCAACTGTTGCATCAGAATCTGCATTTAGTATTGGGGTTAGAGTACTAGATCAGTATCGTAGTTCATTGTTACCAGAAACAGTTCAAGCTTTGTTGTGCACACGAGATTGGCTATTTGGAAAATGAGGTAATACATTTTTATATGGTATAGTATTATTATTTTGGTAAACTTCTCATAATTTGAATGATTTTTAATGTTTGGTTTTTCTATACTTAGTTTATGCGGAAGAGAGTTCTGACGTGGAAAACCTTACTGAAAACATCTTCAACATAACTCTTGAAGACAATAGATCAAGCCAAAGTTACAATACAATTTCATGATGATCAATGTAAATTGAAGATTTTGTAAATAGAGGTGTAAACTTTTGAGAACAAAAACTCTTTATCCTTGCACATTTAATACGTGTAATAGATTAGTAGTGTATGTATTATTTTTTTATTAGGCTCTTATTTTCGAGTGTAGATATAGTACTTAAACGACAAATGTTTTATGTTTTGAAGTAATATTTACGTAGCAATGTGTGGTATGTGCAAATTTAAAAAAAAAATATTTTTTTCTTAACGGGACATAACGGGTTGGGTCACTTTACCCGTTGGGTAAAGTGACCCGACTTGTTAAGGACCCGTTAAGATAACGTGTGTGACACGACACGACCCGTTAAGATAACAGGTGTTACACGAAAACGACACAAACACGACAAACACGACCCATTTGTCTGGCCTAAGTTTTATTGTTGAGATATAACCATAAGAAAAGTAGATGGAAGAAAGGATGAAACCAAAAACTATTAAAGTACCAAGTGACTTGTATTTAAATATATTTATTCAAGCATTCGAAGTTTGTGCTTGAATCTTTTCTCCATATGATTTTATGTAAATTATCTGATCGTTTTGTAGAAAGAAAAAAACTATTCCATTTAATCTTATTCAATTCTCATTCTAATGCACAAAATTAAAAACTAAATAGCTATCAAAACAACACAACGTCTCAAGACTCGTTTGAAAATATTTTTGGTGAAATTAATCTTCGGTTTTAAAAATATTTAAAGTGCTTCCTGTAAAAAGCATATATCAAGTTAACAAAGGTTCTTATGAAAAACTAACAAATGTATAAAAGTGTTCCACAATTTTTCACTTTAAGTATGACATTGAGATGAAAAAAACTCGATGTATGAAAGTTTGAATACCGCGATATTTCAGCGTAACAAAATGAAAATTTACTCAAGAAGAAAAATATTTGGTATTTCGAATCATTTCGTGTAGAAGCAGCAAAACCCTACAAAGTACGGTTATCAATTGTGAGAGACAGTTTTCACAAGTTACAGCTTTCACCGTTTAACCGTTGGTACGTGCACTGATATCAGGTTATCAGATTTCTGATGCAAAGTATAAGAAGTAGACACAGACATTCCATACCCAAATCAGAATACATCTCTTCATTTTTACTGCAAGAGAAACCACTAGGTTACCGTTTACTATTCTGTTTCTGTATATTTTTCCTTTAAAACCCCAACCGCTCTTGCACTCCTCTCAAAAACCCCATTTCCCACTTTGTGAAGAAACATCTTGGTCTTTCCTCCATCATCCTCTCTTTCTCTCTCTCTCTCTCTCTCTCTCTCTCTCTCTGTGGCCCTTTTTCCTTTTCAGTGTAGTTTCTGGTTCTCTGGGGATTGTCCTCAACTGGGTTCTCTACGTTTCTTTCTTTTGTTTCAAGATTCAGTTGAAATGGATAAAAAAACAATGCATGTTTTCAAGGTTTTGTTCGGAGTCTTGGGTGAGTTTCTGAATTTTTCTTCTCTGGTTTTCGGATTATTTTCTCAATTGAATTCTTTCTTACCAATTTCCTTTGAGATTTGAACGTTTGCGTTTGTTAATGCTCTGTTTCTTCATTTTACAGGAAATGGCACCGCTCTCTTCCTCTTCTTGGCACCCACGTAAGCCCTCTCTCTCTCTCTCACATTCTTTCATTCGGGTTCTAAAGGTGATGCCTTTTTGCCTAAATTTTCATTTGTTCAATGGGTTATGATATTTTGATTCTATGTACATTCTGCATTGTTCAAAAAGCAACAATCTCTCTCTCGCTTTTTGTGGCTAAAGATCATGTATTTTGTGTCATAAATTGGATTTTGTTAAATGGGTTTATGTATATCTGTCGGATAATAATGAAGGTTGAATCATTACTGGGTTTCTTTAATTTTCTGTGAAATTTACAGAGTAATTTTGGTTTAAAAATGTGTAGAATTACATTTAAGAGGATCATAAGGAAGAAATGCACAGAGCAGTTCTCAGGCATTCCCTACGTGATGACTATGCTCAACTGCCTCCTCTCCGCTTGGTATGCTGCTTTGCTTCTCACTCCTTCAACTGCTCTCTCTCTCTCTCTCTCTCTGTGTTAGATATCTTGTTGCCTTAATCGCAATGGTTTTTATAATTAAAAATTGGATTATATAGCACTTTTACCTCTGTTTCTGCTATTACTGTTTTACTTAATCAGATTCACAATGCATTTCATCACTGAAATTGGCAATTTTGGTTGAAAAATGGTTTGGATTTGTGTGTAAAATATATGATTCTTGATATTTGGGTCGGAAGAAACTGTACTACTATCGTCTGTGTATTACATGTTATACCATGTTTTGTGTGTGACATAACAGTTTGTGCAATTAATTAATTATGTGTAATTAATTAATAACTTGGATTAATTTAATTAATGTATTATGTATGATTTGCATTATGTTAGGTATGGGCTGCCATTTGTGTCCGCAAACAACATTCTGGTGTCAACAATCAATGGGACTGGTGCAGCCATTGAACTGATATATGTGTTGGTCTTCATCATTTTTGCCCCCAAAAGGGAGAAGGCCAAAATTCTTGGTCTCTTCACTGCTGTGCTTGCTCTGTTCTCTGCTGTGGCATTGGTCTCTCTTTTTGCCCTCCACGACAAGACCCGGAAGCTCTTCTGTGGCCTCGCTGCTACCGTCTTCTCGATCATCATGTACAGCTCTCCTTTCTCGATTATGGTAAGTTTACTTGTATTCACTCATAACATTCATTCAATTTTCATGGTTTAGTTAAGTACGTGGAATTGTTTGGGATTAATTATGTGTTAATTTGTGTGTAATGCAGAGCACAGTGGTGAGAACTAAGAGTGTTGAGTTTATGCCATTTTTCTTGTCACTTTTCTCCTTCTTGTGTGGAACTTCATGGTTTATCTATGGCCTGCTTGGCCATGATCCATTTGTTGCTGTAAGTATCTACCTCTTTGAATTTATGTTTGTCTTTTAACAATATATACGAACTTTTCTATTTAAATTTTCTGGGTATTTTTTCTCACTAACCCCTTAATTGACTAAAACACAATTAAGATGTGATTCAATTCAAATTCAAAACTAGAACTTGTTAACCCGAGAATAATTTAGGTATAACAAGACGTACATATCTTTATGACTATCTCCCTTCTTACATTATTTATCATCCGATAAAAGAGATATAGACATACAATATAATATTGATCCGGTTGAACCTACGATTTTGCATTAATAGAGCTTTCTCTTATGAATGATCTGATGTGCGGTGCAGATTCCAAATGGGCTTGGGAGTGGCTTAGGGGCACTGCAGCTGATCCTGTACGTCATCTACCGTGACAACAAGGGCAAGGGCAGTGGCACCAAGAAGCCCAATGATGCTGCAACTACTGCTGACGAATCAATGGATACGGGCCTTGCAAAACCTGACCAACAATCAAAGCAGTCAGTTACCATTAATGGCGCCCAAGATGGGCATGTCTAAGAGCCCGTCTGCTTCCTACAATGCGTTATTGCCACGTGGCAATGGCATCACCAAAGTTCCATTTTCCAATTCTTGTTGGTCTAGTGTTGTACTTGTAGTAGCTTAAATTTCCAGCTAATGATGTTTTAATGACAATGCCACTCTGATTAGATAAGTCCTGATTGAATCAATGCGTCTTAGCTGATTTCTATATCGTTCAAAGGTTTAATGCGTCTTTTCTCATGTCAAATATGCGGAGGCCGGGATCTTACAAGTCCCAATCCTATGGATACCAAATAAAATTACTTAGCCTCTCCATTAAGACAAACTCTTGTGTACGGGTGCCCTATATGTCGCAGCCACAGTTATGGATCTCTTAGACCTCTCAAACTCATCGGGCCAAGCTATGCATTTTACATTATTCATTTTATACAAATAGGAGGACTTTTACACCCACAGTACAGTTGTCGTGACATTTTGTATCAATAATTTCACAATATGTATAAATTTTTCTCCATGTAACATTATATCATTAACATAAAATGCCTCAAGAAAATATACATGTGTCATTTTAGTTGTTCTCGTATATAAGAAAGAGGAGATCATGCTAATACCGTATACATGACCGTTCTGTCAGAATGCCGATGAATTAGTTGATTTCCTTCACACATATGAACTCCAACTCGAATCTGGATTGTTTGTCCTCTTCATCACATATCCTTTTATATTTTGTGGTCATGGTTAAATCATGTCAATATTTTATATTGATTTTTTATAAAAATAATAAGATAAAAAGTAATAAAAATATAAAATATTAATTTGATTTAACTGTGATTACAGAAATAAAAAATGATGAGAAGGGTATGAGACCAAGATGACAGACAATCTAGGTCCCTTCAACTCAAACACGTATAAATATCGTACGTACATAAAGAACTGAGTCCACATTATGGGCGCCTGACCATGCATGCACTGCCCAAACTCCAAAGTGTGCATGTGAACAGTGAGCCTAATAAGACAAACAGACCAAATTCCATCGGCTGTCCTTTTATTTTTATTTTTTCTCAACGGTTAGAGTTCCTTCAGACTTCTTACATCTTAACTTATGTGGCGAGGATGAAGAAAGTTGGTACCATCGTGAAATCAATTAATAATGTAGAAAATAATATTTACTTTTTATGAGTTTTTGTAAGGTTTTTATTTTCACCGTTGAGACTTTTTTATTTTCATACACCTTTTAAATGTTATAGATTTTCAAATAAAAAACAACACAAATTAGATGACATAGAACACATGTGGTTGTTAGCCTACTCTGATATCATGAAAAAAATTGACTATAAGACCAATCAACAATATAAGAAACAACTTCTTATAAACTCTTACAAAGTTTCTCTTTTTGTTGATAATTTGATATGAGACTCTTTGTTTTCACACCACATTCTCAGAGGCATGGATGTGAATCATAAGTTAATTTAGGGAGAAATCATTAATCAACTTAATCAGAAACCTACGACCTAGCTATGTAAATTGTAATCATAGTTGGCCTAGCCTAAGAATATGATAACAGAATACTTCCATTTTATTTAGCATAAATAAAACGAGCTTGATTTCTTGTCAAATTGCAAGCGGGAAATGCAATTAATAACTTGTTATAAACTGAAGTTGGGAATCCTGATTAAACTCCAGGTGGGAGAATTCGATTAGTTTATTCAGCTCGTGTCTCGGAAAAAATTGGGATGCTATATTGTAAGTTGTTCTTATATAGATCAACTCAAATTCAAGTTAGTTAGGTTCACTATGATAACTCGAGTGGGTAAATTTTGAACCTTCGGCTTATGTGTTAAGGAGCGACTGTAAAAACCCTTCAATTTTATAGGACCCCATAGCTTAATGTCTGGACAGTTTTGATTTGTTATGTTCTCTGACATGATTATTGATTGGAAGGTTGAAGGGTGCTTGTGAACATGGACTTGCGGAGATGGAAATTATATTGAAGAGCTGAAACATGAGGAAAGAAGTACAACTAATACTTCGGTAAACAAAAGAAAGAACCTATCCAATCAGTTAAAAGAGAGAATACATAAAGTTAATATAAAGTATAGATGTCCCTTGCTTCTTCATTCCTCGCTGGCTTGCTGTCTTGTTCCCTGCCCCGAACTGGGATCACTCGCCAGCTAGGTCAGATTGGAGCAATGTTTTTTTCTTTAGAACGTATTACTCATATGAAGTCGTTCAATATATCAAAGCTGCAGATGCATTTTTTGTCGATCGCTTGAGATCAAGAGTTCCAGTGCTTATCCATGCATATACGAAGTTTACTGATGAGAAAGGAGAAAATTAGACTACAGAGAAACCTTCAAGTAATTATCACGACAAACCTTATTACATAAAAATTTATTGTTTATAACATTATATAATACTCATATGAAATGACACTTAAGCTGTAATAGATTTAAAAAATAAAAATTATTTTTAGAATACAATCTACACTCCAAATTATTTTCAATGTATATTCAAGGGAAGATAATTTTTGCTCACCCCAACCGCTAGGACTTGTGCATAGGCTAGCGGCTTCCCACTGAACCTCCCAATTTGACTCATAGTAATTAAGTTCACCCAGTTATTCCACCTTTAAATAATTGACACCAAAAAAAAAAAGTACAAAATAAATAATAAACAAAAATAAAATCTCTTATTGTATTTGAGTGCAATTTCACTAGATAGAAAAACCATACCTTTATCCTTCACTTGTTTCAAGTGATATCTTGGTCTTGGACGTAATTTCTGACGCTTCAGATGATATTTTAGTTGGTCAAACAATTAAGCGTCCATTGGCACAGATCCTGGAAGATCAGAAGAATAGTAAACAGAGTTTAGAACAAGAGAGATTACAAGAGTTTGTGCCCAAGGATAAATTGAATCAAAGTAATTTGTTATTGCTTTCACATGCCAGTTAGAATTTTGTTTCGTGATGAAGACGCCGCTAGCTTTTTATGTTTTGTTTTGAAGCATACGAATAAAGAATATGCAAGGTTGATGTAAGGTGTATGTGAAAAGCGTAGAATGGGAAAGTATGAGGGTGTATTAAGATAAATTTTAAATGAAAATGCGGATGTGAGGTGTGTCAACAATGTATGGTGTGTGAATAAAACACCTCAAATGCTTATACATTGTTATACATAAAATTGCAAGTGACTAGAAAGAGTGATGACATTATGTTTGATATACCTCTGGTAAATCATGAATACGATGTTTGAAAATCGCATACTCGTCAAACCCTTTAGGGATAGAGACATCTTCCGCTGCATCTTGGTCTTTAGATACCTCAATACCTTACATTATTTTTTTTTTTCTGGAAAAAAACAAAACCTAAAGAAATTTCGATCAAGATGTATCTTCTTCGTAATTGTGCACGAACCAGAGAAATCAATCCTCCTCCTTATTGATAATAGAGTAGGCATAAATCTGTGTACATTCGGTTTTGATATGTTTTATATGGTTTTCATTTATTCAGAACAATTTGGAAAGTCTGCCCTATAGCCTTGACCATATTGTTAGTCATCCTTATCTTTATATTAATTACTCAATCCACAATAGAATCTTCACAATATTAAGGATTGTCGCATGCGTTTTAGCGAAAGAGATTAAACATTGTAAGCAGAGAAAAATAAAGAAAAATAGGAAAGGATGAAAATTTGAGGTAGTTTACAATTAAGGTACTAAAATGGTAAATTATATTATGCACCCTCAAGTTTAGGTGCAATTGCAATCCCATACATTAGCTTTTTGAGGAATGAAATGATATTCATTGAGGATAAGGTACATACAATGGGCCTTGATAAAAACTTTGTCGGGAATTTCAACTCGAACGAAAGAAAAAATAGTGTCTCACATCAATAAAGTACTAAAAAATACTATCTTTAAGAAGAAGATAAAGAATTACATCATGAGATTTTTCAAACTAAATTACAGAATTATACGAAGTCAAGCTAACTCTTGCTAGTCTGTGAGCAATCTTGTTCGTCTCTTGTTTGCTAAAATTAATCTTCATCTGTGGGATTGATTTCATCACCCTACGCGTGTCCATAATGATATGCCCAATGGAGGAATCCCGTACACTATCTTTAAAGGAAAAATTTAGATCTCATCTTTAGTCACTAACATTTTTTAACTAAAACTTTAATAATATTTAATTTTTTTTCTATCAAAATCTATTGACTTTGTACACCTTATTATTACTATTAATATATTTCCATATGTCTAATATTAGTTACTTGAGATGTTTTGGGATTTAAAAGCCCATACCATGTGGCATATATATTAAAAACGGTTACAACAAAAAAAAATTTAATATTGAATAAACGAATAAAAATATGTAACAATATAACTTTGAAATAATAAATGTCAAATGAATGTACCCGTAGTGTTCAAAAAAATTGTAAATAACTTATAGAGTAATGTAACCAAAAATGCATACGGAAACATTTATGTAATGTAATGTTACTTAAAAAACATATATGTAATGTACTGTAATCAAATGACCAAAATTAAAAGTATATTAAAATAAAATAAAAATCATCTTGACTATGAAAAAAGGTAACTCAGCAGTTAACATCGTTTATTCCGAAATTTGAAACCCTTGCGTTGGAATCCTACTTGCACCAATATCATTTTTATAATAAAATGAAAAGGGATGGTATACCCACAAGTACTGTAGCCTTGGAATACTTTCTAATGATGGTCCGCTATGAAACCTCCAAGTCCAAGGCATGGAAAGGGGTACACTACTATTTTCCATAAGCATGAAGCTTCAATCCACTAGTACTGTTGTCCGCATCCTTCACCGAGTTAGAGTCTTCAAGTTCTTTTGCCCTTGCCAGCTCCTACATTCATCATTAGAAAGAAAAGGATGTGTATTTTATTTTTCTATTTAAACAAAGAATGCGCGCGTACACACACAGACACACACACAACAAAGAATGCGCACATACACACACACATATATAAAGATGCTGCTCTTTTTATGAGTGTATTTTTGTTTAGAAATAGTAAAAAGTTTAGAGTGTAGAATGATTTTGTTGAATGTCAATGATATCACTCCTATTAAACCCATAAGCTTAAATTCATCATTAGAAGTAACAGTTGTTGATATTTTTTATTTGATTCTATAAAAACTATATATATAATTGTAAACAAAAGTAAAATGAAATAAAACAAATAGGTATTTGAATTCTGACTGAGAAAATGTTAACAAAATGTATCTGAAATAAAACACTAAGGTGATGAGATTAGGCATAACCACACAATGCTAGTCATAATTTTATTTTATTTTTTGGCCAAACAATAGATTTTGTTATATTAGATGTTAGATTAGTCATCGACGGAATTCAAATCCACGTCGTCATGTAAGGGCTCAACACCTTTCCACCACTGTGGTAAAGGCTCACTTGCCAATGCTAGCCATAATTAATTGATACAAAACTCGTTGGTTAGGATCAAGAATAATAACCGATTCAATAAATCTATTCTACAAAGTTCTCCTGAATTTTTTGTATTTTATTATTAATTTGAACCTGAATAACTACTAATAAAATGTATTTGAAATAAAACACAAAGGTGATGAGATTTGGGTATAGCCACACAATGAGCTAGTGATAATTAGTTTCTACAAAAGTCGTTGGTTATGAACTTACTACTTACAAGATTTGAATCTAAGATCTCTCACTTGTAAATAAAGAATCATACAACTAAACCATAGTAGTAAGTGACATTTGAAAAAATATAATTTTAAATAATTTAATGTCAAATGATAAAGTTAATTACGAATTTGATATATGGATCGTTTGAAATCCATATGTTTCTTCAATACATTTTTCTTTCACGCAAATACAAATTTTTTGGGTATTTGTAACATTATATATAAGCAATTTGACTATAAAATCCCTAAAAATCTTTCGAAAAAGGACTATAATATAGAAATAAGTCCCTAAATATCTATGAAATCCCAATAATATTCAAGATGGAGCCTATCTTCCAAAATATCAATTATTCATATCCAACAAAAACATAAATTAAATGATAGATGGAAGCATGTGGAAGGACTTACAGCGCTTTGCTGGTCTCTCTGCTTAAGGGCTTGCATAGCTTCTGCCTACAAAACGTTGTGATTTAAAACAAAAACAAAAACAGATAATTAACTTGGTTGAAAGTTTAAACTACGACGTGTGTACCCTAGCTAAGTCGTATTGCTCCTTGGTGAGGGTTTTAGGCTCACATTCCACCGAATAAGTCCTCTGAAGCTCTGCTGCCCTAGGCTTTTGCTGTTGGTTTTCCATTGTTGTAAAGCTAGTACTCTGAGAGAGAGAGAGAGAGAGAGAGAGGTAAGCAAGGAATGGACATGTCTTGGCACCCATATATAATAGTAACTGTGCGAGAGGGTCGTGCCAACACAGCATAAAACAAGGGAGAAGCGGGGGTGGGAGGCGTGGGCATTTGTAAATAAATTTTTTATTTTATACCATGACATATTTACACTAAGAGGTAGGAGAATAGATTAATATTTGGTAGTGAATTTGTCATTCATGAAATTCGCATATAAGACCTTACTTATGGTGGAAAAAAAATATCGCTAAAGCACAATAGTAATACTAAATGACATAATGAAAAAATTGAACATTGTAAATCACACCTTGTTTAAACATATATAGCTGGTGGATCTGTTTTAATTGCACTAGTTACCTATAACGTAACCACACCTCGTATTAATTAACTCCTTAAGAAAGAGTTTATTGACTAATCTCAACAAACTTCGACTACAAGTCACATTGATTAGCAGGAGAATTTTTTTATTGTGACCGGAACTTGGATGGTACACCACGTGTTTTTATATAAATGGTGAGAAATTTTGTTTTTTAAGTTATTAACTTTTTAACACACATATCCTACCATTTGTATAATAACACGTGATGTACCAACCTAGTGTTCGATCACACCAAAAAATCTCTCGATTAGCATAAACAAATTTCACTTTCTTCTTGTTTGTGTGAGACTGAATTAATGACACTTGTAATCTTTTTCAAAAAGATGATGCCTAAAAATCGGACCAAAAAAAGGAGCTCATTTGAAAAAAAACGATGCTTAACTTGTTTGAAAGAATAATGCTAGGTGGATTAAAGTTGTATACTAAATTTGTAAACTAAATGATGTGTTGTCAATAAGAAATAAACACGTTAATCAATCTTTAAGTTATAATCCAATCATCAACTTTCATATAATTTTGTTTACGAAATTTGATTTATACATTTAATCTCCCTATCATTGTTCTATTTGAAAACGTGAGTTTCTTCAATTTAAATGTCGTCCAATCTCTTATGATCAAGCTTTTCCAAACAGTTGCATCCTAATCTAAAGAAATTATAAAAGACAATCCAAATCAACTCAATTCCCTTAAGCAAATACTTGCAAAGTATAACTTCCATAAGTCACAATCACATAAAAGACAATAACAGTTTGTCAATACAAAATGATACCAATTAACTATACTATGGCAATCGATGTAACTAATGTGACGATCTAAATGATTGTCTAACATGGGAAAGTTAAGAAATCTTGTAAGGGATAATAAGGAGTAGGGTAACTACCTCATTGCCAATCGGTTTTAGTTGAAACATTAATTATCTTTCATGATGTCAAAGCATGTCAACCAACATATGAGGTTAAATGACTACACGTCTTCTCTGTCACTAATAGATATTGTCCGCTTCCTTAGTTCGACTACAACCACACATGAGAGCGAACATTACGACCTGAAATTTATTGGAAAGCTAACTGAGGCTTGATGGAATTTACCACACTTATAGAGGGAAATTACATATCATTGGTAGCCAATTAACACGGGTAGGTTCATAGGAGGAACAAAAAGAACGATCTGCCAGATCTAACTATGCCAAGATGGCAACTACAAGAAATTCGTCGAACTCCTTTATTTTGATATGTGGCCTTATGGTTAATCTCTTCTTTTTTTTTTTTTTTTTATTTATTTAGATCAAGATCCTTTGATTTTTATCCACGTTTTTATTTCAATAATAAAATATTTACACATTAGTATATTTAAATTTTTTTGAATATATCTATTGAGTGTTAAAACCGTCACATTATTAAAGCGTTACATTAGGTATATTTATATTTATGGCTTAAATGTGTGTCCTATATTTTTATTTTTATTTGTACCTATTTTACTTGGCAACCATTTTTGTAATTTGCACCAATCTTCTTTCAGTTTTAAATTGTACCCATTATTAAATGCTTTTTGTGCACCTAATTTATTGACAGTGTACCCACTGTCATGTACCACTGTAAAAAATGTACCAATTATTTATACATAAATGTACCCATTTTTCAATGTAAGAATCTAATCACTTTTTTTTAACTATAATGTACCCATGTTTTATAATACATATAAAAAAAATCTAATCAGTTTTCACTCAAATCAAATTTGAGAAAAAAAAAAAATCCTTATATGGTATAAACTTTACATGATTATAAGGAGGAATTATTTATTTTCATAATTAAATTTCTTAATTAATATTGAAAATTGAATCGTGTGAAATCTGATAAGATTTTTTTTATAAATAAAAATTTAAAATCCTATATGGTATAAACTTTGCATGATTATAGGGAAAAATTGTCAATTTTCATTATTAAATTTCTTAGTTAATATTAAAATTTAACAATATTTTATGTTTTAGTCAAAGTATTCAAATCAATAAAGTTTCAATCTAAGATTTTGGTGAACTAGGAACCGGAACCAAAGTTTCCCTTGGTATATCATTGATCAACACAAACAAATACAGAGTTGCTGATTGCGTACCTTGCTCCAGTGAACAAGAAAATGATATGGAGTGAATTTGCACAATCAAACAACTAGAATAAATCCATGTATGACTAAGCACAAATGCACAAACACCACCAGTGCGGATTTAACACACATCGATAGACGAAACAGACTCATAATGAAGAGACCCCTTAAAGTCGTTATTCAAAGATAAGGGAGAAAACCACATCCACCTATCTGAGCATTGCGAGCATAATTATTGTTGGGTGAGGAAACAAAATAGTTACAACTCTGTGGAGGATTAAGACACTCAAACCAAGATCACCTTCAACTTCATTGTTCAACTAAGATTCATAGCTTCCACAAATCGAGGAGGCGGAGCTACCATATCGAATCAAACAAAACGACAAAGAAGTCAAATTTGATCGTATAAGGCGGTAGAGCCATTAAATCTGATCGCACCATATGGATGAACCTTCATATCTAGGTGTACAAAGCTGTTAGAGAATTCGAATTAAATGGGAATTCTAGCAGTAGTTATGGAAGAGAATCTCATAAAGTTTTAGGAAGAAGAAGAAAAGAAAATGGATCTGAAAATCTCAAAGAATATCTCTCTGCATTCTTCCATATATTGCGGGCATTCACTCTGAGCATATGAGCTCATACACTAGCAATTATAACAGTTGGAGGTGAGAGAGAGATAGACACAATTCTAAATTCAATCTCATCCATCCATTACATCCTATTCTGAGATTAAGACACTTGTCCAATGTTAAGTCCTATGAGACTTAACCAACACATTACATTTTAACACACAAACTCAGCCTATGAGCTGAGGCATAACACAAATGAAATACTTATAATCTTCATTAATCAGTTCATCAATTTACACACTAACATTCCCCTTTGTGAAAATGTCAGCAACTTATTCCTTTGTAGGATAGTGAACCAAGTCAATCACTCCCTATTGCAATGCCTCATTGATGAAATACCTTATGTTGATATGCTTGGTTTTCTAGTGAAATATGGGGTTCTTAGTGATAGCAATAGATGAAGTGTTGTCACAGTTCAGTGGCGTTGCAATAGATTGCATTTCACCAAAATCTTCTAGTACAAACCTTAACCAAGTGGCTTAGGCAGTTGCCTCCGATGCACTGATACACTCTGCTTCAGTTGTGGATAAGGCAACACATTGTTGTTTGACAGACACCCAAAAGAAAACTCCACTACCAAATGTAAAAGCATACCCAGATGTGCTTCTCATATCCTCTTTTGAACCACTCCAGTCACTATCATAGAATCCTACCACGATTGTTGCTTCACCTTTCTTATACTCCAAACCAAAGTCAAGAGTCCCTTGAACATATCTTAAAACTTTTTTTGATGTCCCATAATGCTTGTTAGTATGGCAGTGCATGAACCTTGCTAACAAACATGTAGCATACATTATGTCAGGCCTTGTTGCTGTGAGATACAGCACGCTTCCCACAATTTTCTTGTATTGAGCTTCATCTGACAGCTCCACTATCATCTTCATTTCTTAGTTTATCACTTGGTACTAGTGGAATACTCACAGGTTTACAATTCTAGAGTCCAAACTTCTTCAACAGAGTTGAGGCATACTTCCTCTGATGTAAGAATATGCAGTCTTCAGTTTGCATAACTCTTATCCCTAGAAAATGGTGCAACAAGCCCAAATCTGTCATTTCATACTTGTGTATCATATTAATCTTGACTTCCTCCATTAGCTCCTGAGAATTTCCAGTATAGACTATATCATCAACATACATAGACACAATGATTAAATCTGAGTCTCCTCTGCACTTAGTGTATAATGTTGCCTCGCTTGTACTTCTTTTGAAACCACTCTTTGCAAGATAGGAATCAAACTCTCCACAACAGACCCTTGGTGCCTGCTTCAAATCATATAAAGCCTTGTGTAATTTGTACACCTTATCATCATCTCCTTGCACAATGAATCAATCTGGTTGATCTACATACATCTCCTCTTCAAGTGCACCATTTAAGAAAGCCGATTTTACATCCAGTTGAAACAGCTTCAAATTGTTCTTTGCAGCCAGTGTAATAAGGGTTCTTATGGTATCCAACCTTGCCACAGGTGCAAAGGTTTCATTATAATCTATCCCCAGGCTTTTGTGCATAGCCTTTTGCAACTAGCCTAGCCTTATTCTTTTGAACTGAGCCATCTAAGTTCAACTTAGTTTTATACACCCATTTTACCCTAATCACAAGCTTATCAAATGATCTCCTTACCAATTCTCATGTCTGGTTCTTCTTAATCATGCTTATTTCATCTTCCATTGCCTTTTTCCATGCCTCATCATGTGCAGCTTCATTAAAATCTTCGGGTCGAACAATGCACAAATGACATCTCTCATAAATCTTGCTCAAGTTCCTGTACCTCAGTGGAGTATGATCATACTGAGATGAAGGACTTGAACTACTTGCTTCACTAGAGACAATAGCTAGAGAGTCTTCAATTTAGACTTGAGAACATCCAGATACAACATCATCATTTACTCTATTCATTTCTAGAGATTCATTTGCAGAAAATGAAATGCATACTTCTTTTACTTTGTGCTTTTCTTAGTCCCATTTACCATTCTCATCGAAGATTACATCCCTAGAGAGCAAAACCTTTTGGGTTGCAGGATTCAGCACCTTATACTCCTTCTCACAAGCACCATATCTAATGAAAACACCTATGACACTTGTTTCTTCTAATTTGTGCCTAAAATTTCCTAAAATAAGTGAGTAACACACTGAACCAAACACTTTCAGGTGTTTAATCCCAGGTTTTCTTCCACTAAATTTCTCAAAAGATGTAATGTTCCCCAAAGCCTTTGTAGGACTTTTGTTTAGCAGATACACAGATGTGTTCACTACTTCACACCAGAGATTGTAAGGGAGTTCTTTCTCATGAATCATGCATTTTGCCATCTCCACAATAGTCCTATTTTTCTTTTTTGCAACTCCATTATGTTGTGGAGAATATGCAACGGTGAGTTGTCTTTCTATCCTCAGGTATTCACAAAAGTTCCTAAAATCATTTGAAGTGAACTCTTCTCCCCTATCTGTTCTCAACCCCTTCACAGAGTATCCACATTGAAGCTCTACCATAGCTTTAAACTTTTTAAACACATAGAAGACATCTGATTTGTTTCTCAAAAAATAAACTCAACACATCCTTGAATAATCATCTATGAAAGTAATGAAGTACCTGTTTGTACTCAGACTTGGTGTTTGCATAGGACCACACACATCTGAGTGTATTAATTCTAGTTGCTCATTTGCTCTCCACTTTGATTCCTTGGGAAATGACTCCTTGTGATTCTTTCCCAGTGCACACCCTTGACACACTGCATCACTATCTTGAATTTTAGGCAGCCCCAAACCATTTCTGACTCTGTAATAGCTTGAGACTCCTGAAATTTAGGTGAACAAATCTCTTGTGCCATATCTTTGCACGCTCTTGCACATTTGTTATTAATGCAAGCTCCTTGTTTGTGTTGAAGATTAAGGGAAAACACCTATTCCCTTTTTGTTTCACACTAACCACCAAGTTTCTTAGAGATATGTCATCAAACATATCCACCTTATAATCTCCAAATAAGAGAAAGTAACCATGCTCAGTCATCTGGCCTACACTTAGCAAATTCTCTACAAGACCAGGTACAAGCATAACTTCCTTTATGTATCTCATACCCTTCATTGTTTCAATGATCAGTGTTCCCTTTCCTACCACTTTAACCAAGACTCCAGTGCCTACTTGGACCTTGGCTTTTACCCTTCTGCCAATGTCTACAAGCAAATCTTCCTGGGATATCATATGATTACTACATCCATTATCTATGTACCATTCATCACTTATCTTCTTCACTTCTCCAGAGTGATTGGCATATAATAGTTTTCTAGTTTCTTCTACCTGATTAGCAAAATTCACTTGTTGCACAACCTTGTTGGCATTACAGTATTTTGCAATATGCCTAATTTTGCTACACTTGCGACACTTGACCTCGTTCTTAACCCAACATTCCCCATAGTGAAGTCTATCAAAGAATTTATACTTACCCCCAGTGTTATTTGCATCATTCTTCACATGGAAGCTAGCCTTATCAGCCTCATTACTCCACTATTTCCCTTTTGGCTTAAAATTTTTCTGGTATTTGCTGTTGTTTGTTTGACCATTAAACCTATTTGGTTTTAATGCAATGTTCAAACTAGCAAATGCTTTCTCCATACTACTCTCACCATGTCTATCAAACCTTTGTTCGAAACCCTTCAAAACTGCAACTATATCCTGAGCATCTATGGTGTCTAAATCCTTAGTATTTTATATCACAGTTGCAATACTATCATAAGATTTAGGTAAGCTAATTAACAACTTCTGAACAATTCTTTGATTACTCAGATCTTCACCATAGCTCTTCATTTGATTAATCAGATCAAACAATTTAGCAATATACACAAAGAGAGATTCACTATCATTCATGCGAGTATACTTAAAATCTTGTCTAAGACCTTGAAGTTTCATAGATCTTACTTGCTTATCACCAACGAATTCTTGTTTCAGAATGTCCCACGCAACCTTTGCATTTTCCTGGGTTGTGATCCTCGGGAAAATTTGATCTGAAACAGTGCCTTGGATGATTCCAAGTGCTCTAGCGTCCTTGACCACATTCTCACGCATTAGCTTCTTATCCGCCTCCGTGAGCTCCTCCTCCTTCTTCTTCACTGGAGTTTCATACCCATTTTCAACCAAATCCCACAGTTCGTGTGAACGAAAAATGGTCTTCATTTTGATTTGCTAGAAATCAAAATTCTCGCCATTGAAGACTGGCGCTCTAAGTTCTCCTCCTCCAGATCCAGCCATGTTAGACTCGATCACTAATATGAACTCGAATCATTGCAATGAGCTTTTGCTGTGAATCCAAGCTCACCCTCTCACAAACACGACGCCTAGAAATTCAGACCTAACTTGGCTCTGAGGCCATGTTAAAGGATTCGAATTAAATGGGAATTTTAGCAGTAGTTATGGAAGAGAATCTCATAAAGTTTTAGGAAGAAGAAGAAAAGAAAATGGATAACAAAATCTCAAAAAATATCTCTCTGCATTCTTCCATATATTGCAGGCACTCACTCTGAGCATATGAGCTCATACACTAGCAATTATAACCGTTGGAGGTGAGAGAGAGATAGACACAATTCTAAATTCAATCTCAGTCATCCATTACATCCCATTCTGAGATTAAGACACTTGTCCAATGTTAAGCCCTATGAGACTTAACCAACACATTACATTTTAACACACAAACTCAGCCCATGAGCTGAGGCATAACACAAATGAAATACTTATAATCTTCACTAATCAATTCTACACACTAACACTCCCCTTTAAATTGTGAACTGATTTCACTCCAAGAAGATCTCTAAGATCTCTAACACTCCCCTTTAAAAAAAACCTTTGAGATTTTTTTTTTCTCTGAATTGGTGTACTCCAATTTTCGGATTCTTGAGTTTACATTTGTATCCTATTTACTATACTCGTGTTTCATCAAGAAGACTTAAAAACTAGACAATTTAGATCATTAAGTTACAATATGCAACGAGTCTACAAGGATATCCTCAAGTAACCTTATTTGAGCTATCCTTAATTCAAACTCCCTGTATACTTCTTATCTGGCTTTGCATAACACCCGCCTCGTTGTACAAAAAGTTCAACAGAAAAATCATTTATCTCATGTCAGCATACCAAAAACTTCTAATTTCAGCATTGTATTTATTCAACATTATTTACATACATAGCCCACTTATCATAAAGAGTAAAAAATTTCTCCCTCTTATGTTTGCAAGATTACTAGCCCATTTGAAATTAAGTGTAAGTCATAATGTAGTCATTCAAGTTATGTAGCATTGTTTTTTGTAATTTTCTGGTGTTTCTTTGTTTTCAATTAATTAAGTATTATTCATAATTGTGTAGTTTGTTTGTTCATCTGTCTGTTATGTGTACTTTTTTTCAACTTTGTATCAAAGTAGGTTTGATCCTTCAAGGTTTAATTTGTTTTTTATTTATTATCAGTTTGTATGTCGTCTTATCTATTGTTTTTAGTTGTCGTTGATAGTTTGAAAAAAAAAAAAAACAAAAAAAAAATTACCTGTCACTTAGTACTAGAGTTATCTAATTATATTCATCTGCACTTGTAAGTTGGAGTTCAATACTAATTATTTTCACTCCTTAGTATAGATATACGATTGTATCCAAATAAAGAAAAAGGAAAAACTACACAATTAATATAGAGCATCAAAGCCTCAGTTATAGATCAATCCAATAACTCCTAAATCCTGAGGTATTTTCTCCGGCAATTTTTCTGGATCGACTTTTACACATAGCAAGAAATACGTTCCACATTGATGTCACGAAAGTGAATGATCCACAAGACAGCACAATAAGGTGAATAATCAACTTGTTTGAGAAGCAGAGTCTCATCACGAGCTTCGACATACTGAAGAAGACAAGGGATGAATTACGAATGCATGGCATGCAATGGAAGAGGTTATAAAACGCTTAAAGTGGTAGTGAACCGTCGAGAGGAGGAGCAAGAAGACGTTTTGTAACTCCATCCTTAATTTGCTCCTTCATAAGGTGGACTTGAGCATGCGTTTTGTCTGCATGCTTGTCAGTAACGTCTGCATACTTTTGCCGTTACCAAAATTGCTCCTTCGTAAAGTGCTAAAATGTAAACCTCTTACTTGTTCAAGTAAGTTTCTTGCATGCGTCTTTTATTTTAATTTAAAACTAAAAAGCCTTGTTGGACTGGACTTGCTCATTTATTTTAGTATTCCAGCATGCCCTAGTTTGATAAGATTTTATAATGGGGATTAGATCGAACATAATTTATTTGCATATTGTTGAATACACTCATAATTAAAATGTTATATGAAGGTGAACTATTATTTGCATTTCAAAAATCTTTATTTTCATTCCTCCCAAGTGTATTTTTCTTTTTAAATATAAAAAGTTTGTAGTGCCAATAACAATTCACATTTTATTAAATAACTTATATGCCTAATATGAAATAACTACTTAGTCCTCACAAGATTTTTTTATAAATAAAATAGATACAAATAAACCTTAAATTCCTAGATTTTTTTTTCTTCAAACTCTTTAACTCACTCACACCCTCTATTATAGAACAAAATTCTAACCACTAAAAACAAAAACAAGATGCTGAAACGATTCTTTTTTTACGAATGAAACACGAAATTGACTATTTGAAGGCCTCCACATGAGATAAGACTTCATATAATTTTTCCTTTCATCATGCTTGTTGAACCCTAAATTGCAATTCGGATATTCAGTAGCTGCCAATTGAGATTTTGAACAAAAGCATGTGTTAGGCATTCTTTGGTTGGAGCCTATTGAAAATATGCACAAATTCAGTAAGTTCCTACTGAAAAGCTATACAGTTTCGGTAATTTCGTGCTGAAATATTGATCATTTTTTTGTAACCATCTGCAGAATCTTAAGTTCGATAGATGACTGCTGAAAATATAGGGGGTTCCAATAAAACAAGGGAGCTTTAATGAAATAGGTTTGTGTCACGCCCCGATCCTGACATACGTTCAAGATCAACACATGACATCACCAAATACCCATATTTCTAACATACCCCACCTCCAGGATATGGGCAAAGCACAACTCGAGCTCCAACTGCGTAATAATTTTTTTCATATACCTTATGGCTACATCTAACCTCCTCGTTAGACTGCCTACGTACCCTCAATAGGGATCAAGCCATTCGTAGTTCGTCATTTCACTACACTCAAACATCCATCACATAAATCGTTGTCTCAACAATATATCACAATGCATACCATGTAATATGTCAAAGAACCAATGACGAAGCACAATATTCTTCTCAAGCCATATTGATCAACTAAAATAATCGTAACAGTAACATCCATATCCAAAGTCGTTCCGCAATCCCGTCAATTAATCAATTCATGAATCAAACATGCATGATCTTAGCATTTATTTACGTTATCAATCAATGTGATAACTTATCACTTCACGAATTTAACTAAGGAACTCTATATAATTCCCTACTTGGATTATAAGTAATAAACATGATAATTCTAATTTGTATTCACAAGATCTATTGTGGGTAATTCCCATTCATTCGAATCTAGGGTTCTAGACTAATCTTATGGGAATTAGCGAAAGCAAGGATTCAGGACAACTTAACGGAATCCAACAACATCGGGTTCCGGACCACTCAACGGAACCAAAATACCGAATGGTTTCTCGTAATCTACCCAGACCTGTCATATGTAAAATCAATGCCTACATTAAGGGAATGGTGCACTAGCAAATGAGAATTCGGTTAAGCTGCGAAGCTCGGGTGAGTGACAATAATACAAGTATGTGATATTCAATAAAAACAGACCATCGATCACAATCTATAAACATCGAGTATAGAATCATGCTTTATGATATCATAACCAAGTCACTGAAAACTCCGAATGAGTCACCTAGACATCCAACGGCTTTTCCCATTCAAACCACCAAGATTCCCAAAAACTATCGTTCATATGTGCATTAAAAACTAGGGCTAGATGGATGCAATTCTGCCGAAGCCTACATAAGTAATCAAATAGGAAATGGCCCTCCATAACGGATTAACTAAGCAGAGCCACCCCTGAGTAACCATATAGGTAGTGACCCCCCATCGCAGATTAACCAAACAGAGTCACTCCCACGAATCTATTAGGCAGTGATCACCTATCGCGGATTAACCAAGCATGATCACCCCTAAGTATGTATGGCTATAAGGATTGCCCATCACGGAGAAACTAAGCACGATCCATAAATAATATGGTCCCTCATCGCGAATTAACCAAGCAGAACCACGAGTGACCCCTCATCACGGATTAACCAAGCAAGGTCAAGATAACCAAGTAGGTAGTGACCCCCCATAGCGTATTAACCAAGCAAAGTCACACATACAGAACTGTTAGGCAGTGATCACCCATCGTGGATTAACCAAGCACGATCACTCCTAAGTATACATGGCCATAAGGATAGCCCATTGCGGATTAACCAAGCGCGATCCATAAATAATATGGTCCCCCATCGCGGATTAACCAAGCAAGACCATCCATGTACCACTGCTACATGGTGCAGACTCGGTGTCACCTAACCTCGTGACACTAGGGTAACGGTCTCTACTAGCCCACACATTTCTCAACATTTCAAATATATATTTATAACACAATTCATAAACATTTCAATATGCACTTCAAGTCACCTTTTCACAAATATTTCCAATCCATGAGTCAAATCATATTTAATAAAAATTGATCGATGACCAATTATAAAAGAATCACATTTTAACAGAAAACACATTTATAAAACTATGTCATATCCACAAAGGATATTAATATATAAAGAATCGGGTAATCACCATATCACATATATTAAGTCACTCACCAAGACAAGTCTGCAAAGCTTCACTGAGTCTCTAGTAATACTAATTTTAGTAATTCAAATGGTTCAAGACCTGTTGACAAAAATCAATTGTGGGGTCCACACCCTAGCAATTTAATCCGGAAGATCTACACATCATAATCTAGATCCGTAACTTCTTAAGGTCCTCATTATTCTCAAAGAATAAGATACTAAAATCTCATCGCGATCCGACGATCGAAAATCCGCCAATTGCTAGAATTAGGTGGTGGTTAACAATTAATTTTACTAACTTAGAAATTCAATTCAGGAAGATCCGTAGTCGAATTCCC